AGACGATACATTAGAAAACGTGTCTTTCTCAATTAATATAAGGTTATTCTCACTAACGCTTAACATTTTCAAACTGGGCAAACTGATGGCACTGGTATGATCTAACTGTGAAATAAGATTGTGTTCTATAAAAAGTACCTTTAAGTTTGTAAGATCCTTAAATACACAACTCTTAAATGTGGAAATTTGATTGTGGTTTAGGTTGAGTTCTGTTAATGATTGTAAATTTAAAAAGTCAGAACACTGGAGTTTTAGGATTAGGTTGGACTGAAACGACAGATGTGTGAGGGTGGACATGTTTTGGATGGCTGGTGGGATTCTGCTCAATACATTCTGCTCTATGTTTAAATTTCTGAGTCGCGTCATCGTTTGGAGTGCGGACTCTGATAAGTTACCCAGTACAATGTAGATGAGCTTCAGGTCAGTGAGGCGAGAACAGGACTGCAGAAGAGTGTCATTTATTACAAAAATGTGTATTTGCGATACATGAAACTTCTGTAAAGATGGAATTCCACAAACAAAATCAAACACTCTTTCATCAAAAATCTCGTCAAAGCTACTTAAATGAAGATTCTCAAGTGAAGCAAAACTTTGGAAAATCTTTTTGCATGTTTCAAATTTTAATTCAGATAATTGTATCCCGAAAGTCTTCAGATTGGTCAAAACTTTGTCAATAACATCCCATTCAAATCCACGTTTTCTACTGGCTACAGTGAGGGATTCTAACTGAGGGAAAACATCGGAGTGAACACGAAATTTGGTCAAAGTATCTGAGCCCAGGTGCAGCTTAGTGAGGTTCTGTAGTGGAAAAGGAAAAAAGTCAGTTTCAAAAACAGTCAAACGAATGTCTGTCAGATCTAAAATCTTTAACGATGGACAATGTGAAACTATGTTAACAACATTACTACTGTTTACCAGCTCATTTGATGCCAGATAAAGCTCCTGCAGCTTTCCTAAGGGCTTGAAGGCCAGCGGGGAAATATGATCAATTTTGTTGTTGTATAAATTTAAAATCCTCAAATTGGTCAGTCCCTCAAACATGTTGTCAGTCAGTTCTGTAAGTGAGTTGGATTTCAAATTTAGTTGAGTTAAAGCAGACAAATCTGAAAAGGCTCCATTTTCAATGTGTTCCATATCATTTTGTCCAAGAAATAATGCCTCAAGTTTTGTAAAGCCTTTAAAATCTGACTCTCTAATTGTTACAATGCGATTACGGAAGGCTGACAGATAAGTTACAGTTTTGGGAATGCCTCTGGGAATTGTGTGTAACCTACTAAAGTCACACTTGACTTTACTGCTGTCATGGAAGTCTATGGTGCAGTTTCTTAAAGAGTAAAACAGTGAAGGCCGAGACAGAAGCAGCAGAAACAGAAGTGAGAGAAGAGAAGTGCTCGCAGGCCACATCCTGCCCCCAGTTCCTGTAAGACCCAAAGAAACACAAGAGTCAAGTTGACAAAATCATACTCAAGAAACAGCTCTGTACTTCAAATGACTTCAACAAAAATTATGCAATAAGATGTACGAACGAATTAAACCTATAAACAGGAGTAAAAAGTAACTTGTTAGAAATCCTCATGTAATTGTGTATCATGACCATTGACCAATCAAGAGCTTTGCCTTTGGAGTCAGCTCTTTCTTCACCCCTGTGGCAATTGAGGGGTTAACAATTTGATATATTAACAGAAATTTAAGTGTTGCAACAACACCACCCCAACTTTAACTTCTTAGGTTCTTTTTAAAGACTATGCAGTAAAGTGTATTTACCTTGTTGACATGTTTTGGCTGCTGCTGCATCTTCAGAACTGTCACCGGTGTTGGTGGTGACGTGTCGTATATCAGCTGTTGTTACTTCCTGTAGGCGTGGTCAGACCTGATGGACCTGCAGGTCGCTCAGACTGACCACGCCTCCCGTCGCTCGGTGTCTCTGGAGGAGGGTGTCCCAGGTGTGTGAAAGGAGGAACGCTCCGTCATCACGGTTAATGGAAGTAACAACAGCTGATATACGACACGTCACCACCAACACCGGTGACACTTCTGAAGATGGCTTGCAGCTAGCAGCGGAAACATGTCAACAAGGTAAATACACTTTACTGCATTGTCTTTAAAAAGAACCGAAGAAGTTAAAGTATATAAGAAGACATAATGAACATCATTGGCCTAACACCACCCCAAATCTAGCTTGGGGAAATTAACCTAAATATAAATGCGCACAGGTAAGTATATGAAGTGAGAGAATCAGGTTCAGGTTCTATCATTTAGAGGGTTTTTATTTCATCATATTAAAGTAAATTAAAGCAAAACAAAATAAAACACTAAACAAACAAGAGGACAAAACAAAAGAGTCGAGGCAAAGTGTCTATTTTTACATCCATTTGTGTTTCCATTTGAAGTGCATGCAGTCCATGTTGGTCTGCATTTGACATTAAGCTCTCGTAGTTCATTCACGCAGCCATCTTCCCGGCATGCCATTGTAAGTGCTAATAAAGGATTTAATAATGTGATTTTTAAAGATATCCACACCAGTGTCTCCACATCTTACACCAGGTGTCTCCAACCTTTTTCTTCTGTTGAGCTATTTTTACAAACAAAATTCCAAAGAGCTACTAAATATTTGCGGACACAAAAAATTTAGCACAGGAAAACCTTAGATGTGGGACAGTTGGATACCAATAAAACAGAAACCTTTCTCCATTTATCAGTGCACAAAGTTAGGCATCAAAATGATACATGTACAATGGTCGTTCATCAAATTTGAGTCATTCAGCTTCTTGGAAGGGGGTGGAAGGGTTGGAGAGCTATTGGCAGCTCCTGACCTACAGGTTTGAGAGCCTTGTCTTAGGCTACGTTCAGACTGCAGGGCTTAATGCTCAATTCCAATTTTTTTGTGAAATCCGATGTTTTTGCGAGGTCGTTCACATTTCCAATTAAATGCGACTTGTCTGTGACTTCAGTGTGAACGGTAAACGGCCCGAATGTGTCCCGCATGCGCACTGGAGACACGATGATGTCAACCCCATGCCTCAACCGCAGTGAGCGTGCTCTGTGTTTATGGAAGTTGTCCAAACATGGTCGCGAGCATTGAGCACTTGGCGATTTTACAGTTTCGGTTTCCGCCTGCTTCAGTGCAGAATAGTGACGTTTGTCGCTTGTTAATGACGTGTAGGTCGGATGGATGCGCTTTGGCCGTTCACACTGAAGTCGCATGTCAAAAGATCAGATATGTATCGGTTTCAGGAGCACATATCCAAGTGGCCTGGGTCGCATTTGAAAAATTTGGATCTGTGCCGTTCAGACTGTCATTAAAAGATCAGATACAGGTCACATAGAAGCCAAAAAATCGGATTTGGGTCACTTCAGGCTGCAGTGTGAACGCAGCCTTAGACTGATAGTATATCACACTGAATCTTATATTTGTGAGATGATGTCATTGTCTGACATACTCAGCCTGCAGATAAAACTGTTCATGAGAGTTGATACAGCTGTGTTCAGTCGTGCAGTGACCAACTTCTTGTTTGCTCTAGTCCTGGGGTGTCAAACATACGGCCCGGGGGCCAGATCCGGCCCTCCAAGACCTTTAATCTGGCCCTCGGACGATTTTCTACCAAAATATTTGAATTATATTTTCTATTAAAATATTGTTAATTTTCTGTGGTGTTTATCACAGCAGCGTCTCCAGCGTCTCTGTACGTGGCCCCTCCCACCAGAGCAGCACAAATGAAGACTTGTCTCTTTCCAAACGCTCTTAAAGGACGATCGTTTTGACTGTTGACCGTGACACCCTCATCAGAAAAATGTCCAACATGAGAAAAGTGGAGCCGAGTGCAGGATTTTCCAACAAAAATTGACTTATTCCTATTTACATACAAGTTCATGTTAAACATTGTGTTGAAATTGTATTTTTCTTAAAGTTTCAGGTTGTTCATAATATTATAATATTTTGGAAAAGAAAGAGTTCATCAATTAAAAAAGATTTCTGTAATAGATTTGTGTTTCTCTGCACAAATATTTGAACTTATTATTATTTTTGGGGTTTATATGACATGAGTTTTCTGATCTGGCCCCTTTGAGATCAAAGTCGGTTGGACCAAAATGAGTTTGACACCCCTGGTCTAGTCCACCACAACCTCATCAAGAGCAATCACACAGCATCATTATAGGTCAGCCTTTGCAGACTGGCTTCTCTGTCATTAGTCCAGAGGTGAGTTGAGTACAACATGTCCAACATGTCCAATTTACTTTTACAATTTAATTTAATGTCAAATTTACACCATCAGTACAAGAAACAAACTCATGCATATGTGCATTTGCCTGACCATACAACATGCTACATTGTCTATAAGTCTCCTCATGGTCTGTCACGTCCACAGTCATGATATGAGATTATTTTTTATTTTAGTTGTAACTCAACACAACATTGAACAGGCAAAAGGTCTTTTCATACATGTGTCCTTTTTAGTGCATTATTACTGTCATGCTCCTCACCATAAACTGAACAGAAGTTGAGGAGCTGCTCTAGACCAGCGCTGCTCAGACTAAACATGACCAAGGTTTAGTCTTGATCAAATCTGAAAATAGCATTGCTTTGCCTTGACTAAATAATTCTCTTACTGAAAGTTTATGCAGATAAAGTTGAGGTCAGTACTCACCAGTTGTTCTCCAAAAGGTGACTGAGAGGAGATGGGTGTTATCAGTTCTTTAAAATGAGTAAAAAATACCAAACAGGAAACAGTATGATCTCAGCCAGACCATGCAAAAAAAAAAAAAAAAAAAATTACTGTCACTACAAAAAAGGAGAGTTCAAGTAACACAAATAAATGATTTAATATTGTCATCATAAAGCTTTTGCCACTAGTACACTAACACTAACTCATAGTGCGAAGAGAAACCAAAGTTTAATTAAAGGGCCAATATTACTTTATTTTCTGATCTCTGTTCTAATTCCTCATCACAAACAGACCTGGAGTTTGTTTCATTCACACATGTTTAACACACAAACTCTTTAAGTAAGACAAACTTTATTGATCCACAAGGGAAATGATTTGGCCACAGCAGCTTCACACATCACAATATAATATAATAACAAAGAGCAAAAATAGAAATGGTAACAATACATCCAAAATAAGAACACAACTGCTCAAGTACAAATAGAGTCAATCCACAATAGATCTCGGCTTTATACAGAAAGTGAGTAAGAGGAAACAGTGCAAAGATAAAATAATGATTGACATGACACAGGTTTATCTATGACATAAGGGTGATTTGTTGTACAGTTGTAGGGAGTATTACAGTATGAATGTAGTCCTGTGTCTCTCACTGTTTGAGTGGAGCTGTAGGAGCCTGTTGGAGAACGAGCTCTTCTGTTTCTCTTACAGTATATAGAGATGGGACAATAATGTGGTTTACTGTGATAAAAAGGGTAGACATAAAAGGTAGGGTATAAAAGGTAGGTAAATCATCCGTGGGACATTTTACATAATCGTTATAATTGCTCAAGAGAATCACCATTATATCAGCAGAATGTGCAGAAAAAAGACACTTATCCACAATGTTTTCTTCAAGGTAATTGATGTTTTCACTTATAATACAGTACAATACTATAAAAGCTGTTTAAATATGGAGCCTATTTATAATATTAAAATTATACTTCATATCCATAACATTTTTAAACTTTTAATGATTTTTACTGGTGCTGCTCCACCAGTAGAGCACAGCCAAGTACAGAACGCTGGCCTCCACACACTCAGGCCGATGTAAAACAGGAGTAAAAGAAGGGTGTCTAAAAAAATAACACTTAACAGGTCTTTACCGCACTGAAGTGTTTCAGAACATCTAAACACAGAGGTGTCAGATTGGTCTTGTGTTAAGGGGAACTGAGAGAAACACCTCACTGCTTTTCAGAAAAAATAAAATACGTTTAGTGAGAAAACAGAGAACAGGAAGCATCACAGCATGCAAAATAATAACACAATTTTAAATAATGTCTATTTAATGTCTAATGTCTAATAATAGTCTATCTGTAGCCGGAGTGCCAGTGCTAATACACATTTGATATGATCTCATGGGCCAAATATAATTATATTATGGGCCAAATTTGGCCCCTGGGCCTGAGTTTGGCATGTCTGATGTAGAAAAAGAACACTGTAGAATCTTATTAGTTATTATGAACATAATTAGATAGTTCTTTTATTCATTTTACAAATATAATAAAATATCAACTGAAAGAAAATTTGCAAATTTACGCAGAGTTGCATTGGCCCTGGTGGTGTGTGGGTGTTTATAACATAGTGGGGCCTAAACTCTGTACACATCATCGTACCACCATTAGTTTTTAGAAGTCTTTAAACTTTAAATAACAGCCGGTGGTGCTGAAAGTCGATTGCCTGGTATCTGAAAAGAGCTTTACAGTTTTTACATAACAATGAGTCAACTGAATGAGAATGACTATAATTACCAAAATTGCCATAGCCACTTGGGACGCTCCAAAAGTGCACCAGGTTGTTGGAAATACGATTTATTCTATTCAGTAAACTCTGCCTCCCTCTTCTCAATAAGACTGACAAGAGCAATGCTGTGAAAAGGTTCTAAATGAACATGTTAAGACCCTTAGATCTCCCCCAAGCAAAAGTCCAGTGCAATGAGGTCCCCATAATGTGAGTGTGAACCAGTGGTACCTATCCTCAACCTTTATGGGGAGAAACGTCAGGTCCCCACAGCGTAAATCATCAATTATGATGATTATAATGACTTAAAGTTATGATATTAATTACACAATTAAACAAGGTCTAGTTTGACACCAACTGATCCACACCACGCCCCCTTTTAACCAACAAATGACAGAGTCATTAGCAGTGAGTGTCAACAGTGACCAGGTTGCAGTTAAACATTAACAGTTAGTGGGTTGTGGCTGTCTGCAGGTTCGTTGTCACACTCTAACGCTCTGCGAACGTTCTCCCAGAACAGACCCTTGTGGCTCCGGGCCTGGGTCCAGCTCAGATACGTGCGGCTCTTCACCAGCTTCCTCATGCGGTAGAACGGACTCAGGTGATTGGACGAGATCTCCTCCAGAAACAGCAGGATCAGCACGTCCTTCTGCTCATCGAACAGACGGTAACTGCACACAGGAGAGACATGTGAGAGTCCAGGACTGAACCAGCACTAGACATAGACTAGACCTGGACTAAATCTGGACTGAATCTGGGCTTATCCATGGAAGTATTATTTCAATAAGGTCTGGAAGGTGAACTTAAGATGGCATCGTGTTGTTTTCAATGGCCGGTTCACATTGGCGCGAAGAGTCAAAAAGTAATTTCTTCCACATTTCTTCCTCAGTGCTGGCGCTGCCGAGAATGTGACTTTAGAAACATACAGTTCTGACCAATCAGAGCACTAGCTGCTAGAGCGAGGCTAGGCTAAATCACACAAAGCTGACTTTGAGGTGCTTTGACCATTTAATATTTTTAAAAAGCTCATATTATAAAAATGGAGAAGCAGCCCTACAAAATCCAACCTTTGTGAAAGCTGTGGATGCCCTGTCAGCACAACACGGGCAGTTTGATTTCATAAAAATACATTGCGCTCTATGGACCGAGGCTCCTGTGAACTGCAGTACCTGCAGCGGCCACTAGTCGATCTTGTTTGTGAACGGAGGGGAAATGTCTTCTAGTTCTTAATATAGATCCATGGACTAAACCCGAGTGAGTGTGTACCTGGCCATCTGTATCTCCTGTGAACACCACTCGCTCTGCAGGTAGCGGCGGCTAATCACACACAGAGTCTTCCTGCTGCTGTAGATGGCATCTGTGATGTTCTCAATGATGGGTTTCCCTGAACACAGCACAATATGTGAAGTTAGCACAGCTCCAGAGGAAAACATGGACAGAATCCATCAGGGGCGACTGACAGAAGCAGAGAGTGAAGAGACGCAGTACCTAGCTGGAAGTCACGGTGGTGCAGACACAGTCTCCATCCCTGGACTTCTTCCAGTTCAGGCAGGAGCTCTCCGTAAACCCAGTCCTCATCGTGAACGTTGTAGGACACAAATGCGTCGTAGATGTGAGGACAGCCCTGTCTCCTCTTTTTACTGTCGTAGAGAAATGCCAGGAAGAGATAGAAACCGTAGACCAGCTGCCATCGCAGAAAGTGATAAATAAAGGAAGACAGAAGAGTGACAAGGACCAAAGCAGAGCTGGAGATGAAGCAGAGGAAGCCAGTAGACTCCCAACACGACTGCACATTGAAGTCCAGCAGAAAGTGGCCTTTTTCAGATGGAGGAGAGGAGCATCTGTACTGGAGAGCACCCGACACTAGGACTTGTTTGTTTCTGATCACCCAGGTTATAAACCCAGCGTTTGAGCAGTCACACACAAAGTGATTTTCAAATAAATCAAGGTATTTTAATGAAGGCAGAGCCTCAAAAACAGTCTCATTTATGATTGTTAAATCATTGTTTTGTATGCTTAACCTTTCCAGTTTGGTCAGATTTGCTTTGGAGAGAAAGTCCAAAGATTTTAATGCATTATTACTGAGTCTTAGAGATTTTAACTCTGTTAATGGATGAAAAAGCTCTGGAGTTGGGTCAAACTCTAAACTGTCGACAATTTCGAGTTTTTCTAACTGAGGTGTGTAGAGGAATGTGTCTTGATGGGGAGCATCAAGGAACACATTTTTTGATTGTAAAATTTTTAAATTGTCTAAACCTTTAAAACCATCACTGGGAAACTCAAAACAAAGGTCCCCAACAACTGTGATCTTCAAATACTTCAGTGAAGGCAAACTAAATAATGACTCAGTAGTTGAGTGCTGACATGTAGTTAGGCAGTAGATGACTAATGTCAGGTGTCTGAGCTGGGGTAACCCTGCTAATGTATCTCTGGAGTGAACTTGCTGAAAGAAAAAGATCAGTAAGATTGTACAGTCCTTCGAAGACACCACCTTCAACTGAAGTTACTCCAATTGACTCAAGATTTAAAAACGTCAGAGAGGACATATCTCGAAAGATGCCTTTGTGAAGCCACACAATGTTATTTCTAGAAACATCTAAACCCTTCAGTTTGTGCAAGGTTCCATCAAAAGCACCGTCTAACTGAACAAGATGATTTATGCTAACATCTAGAATATTTAAGTTAGTGAGAGTCTGAAAAAAACAGCTGTCTAGTTTAGAAATGACATTGTTATGAAGAGAAAGTTCGGTTAACAGTGATAAATGAGTAAAGTCTGAACACTGAAGTTCACTGATGTGGTTTGAATCCAAAAACAAATATTTCAGGGTGGTCAAGTTTCTAATTGCCACTGGTATTCTGGATAATTGATTTTCATCCAAATTAAGTGTAATTAGTTGTGTCAACATTTGGAGTGAGGTGTCAGTCAAATCAGTCATTGAATTACATGAGAGGTCCACTCTTTTTAGATTGCTGCAGGACTGTAAAAGACTATCATTTAAAATGGCAATGTGATTAAATCTTAACTGTAACATTGTTAAGGATGGGATACTGCAAGCGAAGTCCAACAGACTTTTGTCAAACAAAAAACTGCCAATATTTTCTAGATTAAGATTATAAACTGAATCAACCATTTGAAAAAGTAACTGATACGTCTCGATTGTAAAATTTGTATCCTTCAAGTTTAAATGGGTCAGATTTCTGAAAAAGTATTTGTCAGAGACGTCCCATTCAATGACCGATGCTGATACATTAGTCAAACTGAGAGACTTTAAATGAGGAAACACATCTGAGTGAACGCTCAACCGCCTCAGAGGGGTCGAGTCCAAATTCAGTTCTCTGAGGGTCAGAAACTGAAATGTTGAATTTTCAGTATCAAATAAAGTTAGATTGTTTCCTTCAAGACTTAAAGTTTTTAATACAGATAATGGCAATTTGTTAGCTTCAAATGAAGTGAATTTGTTAAATCTAAGATATAATGTCTCTAATGATGGACAGTGTAAATATATGTGAACAATGTCACTGTATTGGATCAAATAATTACGGGACAAGTCCAGTGTGTCTAGTTTATTTAAAGGCTTAAATGCACTCTTTGAAATTGATGTAATTTTATTTGTCGTTAAACTCAGACTTGACAGGTTGGACAGTCCCTTGAACATGTTGTCAGTCAGAAGTGTGAGATGGTTTTTATCTAACATAAGAATAGTTAAAGCTGATAAATCTGAAAAGGCTTCATCTTCGATGTGTGAGATATTACAGTGTATCAGGTCTAAAGTGTTTAGTTTGTATAACCCAGTGAGAGCTGTCTGTTTGATGCTCTGTATGTGACTGTCAGTTATTCTCACAGCTGTGGCAGTCTTGGGTATCTCAGGGGGAATAGAGTTAAGACCACTACCACTGCAAGTAACTGTATTATTGCCAATTTCACAGCTGATTTTGAAGTAAAAGTAAAAGAGAGAAGGCCGAGGCAAAAGCAGCAGAAACAGGAGTGAGAGGAGAGAACAGCTGTGACGGCTCATGCTCCCTCTGGCTCCTGTTACAAAGACACTGTTTTAGTTTTAGCACCAGACTCCTCCTCCTAGGTCAAGGATGGGTCAGAGTTAGGATCAGTATCATAGACTGTATTAAAGGTGGATTAAAGCATAGTAGCTGCTTTGGAAACGAGTTCTATATTTTGAATTCTGACCATGAGTATCAGAGCAACCAAAGAGCCAATCAGGAGCAAGGATGTTGAAGGTGATGCTCCTTTCCATCTGCACCGCTGGTTTGGCAGGGAGCAGGTACTTAGCAATTTGTCTGATATTAATATTCCTATGTTAATTTACAGGCGAAATAGCAAAATAAAAACCACCTCAGAGTGCGCAACTTGGAACTCGGAAGAGCTCACAGGAGACCCAGCAAGAATGCAATACCTTACTGCCTCTGTATTACTGCAGTACCTTACTCCTTACTGCACCTGTGAGTTTGGAAGCCAGTGTGTGTGTGTATACATACATATATATATATATATATATATATATATATATATATATGATGGTGACAAAGAGATGGAAGGTAGTCCACACAGAGGGGGTGTCACTCCCAGAGGGAACAATAGCAGACCTTGAGGACAGTTACAAGTACCTGGGTATCCCACAAGCAAATGGCAACCTCGAAGAGGCAACAAGGAAAACGGCTATAGCCTAATGCCTGCAAAGAGTGAGGCAAGTCCTAAGAAGCCATCTCAATGGCAAGAACAAGGTGCAGGCAATCAACAGCTACGCCCTGCCAGTGATCAGATACCCTGCAGGAATTGTAAGCTGGCCAAAGGAGGAGATACAGACCACAGATGTTAAGACACGAAAGCTCCTGACCATGCATGGAGGGTTCCATCCCAAATCCAGCACCCTGAGACTGTACGCAGGCCGGAAAGAAGGAGGCCGAGGACTAGTGAGTGTGGGAACCACTGTCCAGGATGAAACATCCAAGCTCCTTGAGAACATCAAGGACAAGGCCCCGGCAGATGAGGTGCTCAGAGAATGTCTCAGACAGTGGGGTCCAGAGGAAGAGGTGCTGGAGGGACCATCATGGCAGGACAAGCCCCTACATGGGGCAAACCACCGGAGCATAACTGAAGTGACTGATATCAAGAAATCCTACCAATGGCTTGAGAGGGCTGGTCTGAAGGACACACAGAATCACTGATCCTGGCTGCTCAGGAGCAGGCCCTGGGCACTCGAGCAATAGAGGCCCAGATCTACCACACCAGACAAGACCCACGGTGTAGACTGTGCAAAGAGGCTCCTGAGACAGTCCAGCACAGAACTGCAGGTGTAAGATGCTGCAGGGAAACAAACATGGAGCAACATAACCAAGTGGCGGGCAGAGTGTACAGAAACCCTCTGAAAGGCCTCTGGTAGACGACCCGAGCTGAATGAGGGTGAGAGACCAACCACCGTGGAAGGTGAGAAACACATTTTATGTATATATATATATATATATATATATATATATATACATAAAATGTGTTTCTCACCTTCCACGGTGGTTGGTATATATATATATGTATATGTATATATATGTACCAAAGCTAAAGCAACATTATCTTTCCACTGTTGGTGTCCATGTTTTTCCCCGAGTCAGAAACACAAAACATAATAAAACTGTTGAAGAGCGTACGTGACGACATATCCGAGATTCGAGTGGGAGAAGGATGGATAAACGAACGCAGCATTGATGTAAACATTTTAAGATCAAAATGATGAGGCTCACAGCAGCGCTTACAGAAAGAGGGGTTGAGTCAGTGCACCCATGCTCACTTCCTATTTGGAACGCAACGTCTATCAGGTTAGCTACGTCCCTATATAATCTATATTCTGCAATCTCACAGTGGCCTTGTCTCAGTTATTTGGCACACAACAGCTGCCTCTCAGTTAGGGATGTTCGGTTCGGTACGTCCCTGGGTTTTGAGGTCACAGTTCGGTACAGTTTTGGTGCAGTATAGGAACAAAACCATTAATGTGTTTATTAAACCAACAATTTGTTTTAACTAGGGCTGGGCAAAAATACATTTTTAAAATCGCGATTAATCACATGAGTTTGAGTGATTAATCGTGATTAATCACATGTTATACGCAAAACCAATTAATGAATTAAAAAGTAGAGTATAGTGTTCTTTTATTGGAAATGTAAATGAAAGAGCCAAACATTTGTTGTGCAAACAGTATTTCTTTCACAGGGGAACCTCAGAGCCTTCAAGGTGTTCAGGGAAGGCTCAAGAAAAAATACTGAATGGACGTTTGTACTACTAATATATTTACTGAATATTTTTTATACTGTGAGTAATGAACACTACACTAGTAATAATTTCTAGATCATTGTTATAAACTTGGACTAAAGGGTTAATATAATGGAATGGAAATGGACCAATCGCATTTTTTCTTCCAGTGATATCTGGGTTAAGCACTGAACTAAAGAAATTAGCTCAGCTCAGAGCCGGTGCACACGGCTGAACCCGCGGCCGGAGCCGCGACGGGAGTCGGAGCCTGCGGCCAAACCCGCGACCGGGCCCGCGGCTCGCAGAGGCTCGGGCACGTTGGATCTCACGTGGTCAGAAAAAAGTGAAAAAAGTGTCAAGAAAAGACGTCAAACTTAAAGAAACTCTCGCAGTGGACTTTTTCAAAGTAAAAGCCAGTGAGAGACAGACGTTTACAATAAAATAAATAAATAAATAATAAAAACTGCATTAACGGCGTTAAAATTATTGTCGGCATTAATGACTTCATTAGTTAACGCAAAGTTAACACGTTAACGTGCCCGGCCCTAGTTTTAACATTATACAAATGTGAAAATAAAATCAATGCAAAGTGCTGCTTGGTAATATTAAAAAGTGAAATAAAATATTCTCAAATAAGCAACAATCATATGATATATTCTAAAAAAAATAATTAAAAACAATTCCTTGTAAACAGTAAACAAAACTGCACTAACAGTTCCAGCATGAAGTTTTAGTCAATCTTCAGATTTTTGGCCAAAAAAAACCCAAACAAATTGTCCACATTGTCTATAGTAAGTGCAGATCTGCTGCAGGTACAATGTCCCCAGCAGGGGAAGGGCATGCCAGCCAAAGGTGAGGCCTGGGGTGCAACAACCATAGTTTTGCGAGGATTCTCGTGCGAGAGACGTAGTCAAGGCTGGGGGCAATTGTTGTCAAGGCGGCCGCCCTAACTATAAAGCACTGCAGGAAACACTGCCCCAAACACGGACGAGTTCCCTCGTGAATATTAAAGAGCTGAGCCTCAGTGTAGCTGCACATGTGGTGGCGGAATGTAAATACACACAAATTATGCAAACTCACTCGTAGACCCCTGCACCGAACTAAACGTCCTGTACCAAAACGGTTCTACACGAATACATCTACTGTTACACCCCTACTAACAGTGTTGTCGGAACCTTTACAACTTTTTACACAGTTAAGTGATGTCACTTCCAACAACCAGAAACTTCACAACGGATTTCTAATTTTGTTTTGAACAGTGAGTTACAGATGCAGATACAGATGATTTCTGTTTGTACTGGGCTGTATTTGCAGGATAAGTGGTCTGCAGTGGTACTCACACTTTGCTTTTATTTACAGTGTCTTCAAACAGATTACCCCTTTTTTATAACTTGTTTCTAATAAAGATGAAATCGAAGGCCAGGGCTCTAACTAGAGTCCATAATTATTGCAAACAAATTATACACCAAGGCAAGCAATCAAGTGTTCATGTGTTCAAGCAAGTGTTCATATTGAGGATCTGAAGAGGCTTTCGAAACACTGCTCTAATGTACCTATACTGCAACGTTTTCCTCTCTCCTCCCTTTGTGTTGACTTTTTTTCTAAATTCGTTTTAGTATTAGATGAGTGCGTGCTCGGTGTCTTGCTTCTTCTTTTCTCTGACTGTTCATTGAAAGCAAAACAAGTAGCTTATGAAAACAAGTCAAGTATAAAATAATGTCGTAGCTGTTCTACGTTTCATTAAAAGTTTACTCGGAATTCATTTTCTAAATATTTATGCAGATAAACCTGAAAGTCACTACTCACCAGTTCTTCTCCACAACATGACTGAGAGGAGGTGGGTGTCATCATTTCTTTAAAATTAGTAAAAATAAGAAACAGGAAACAATGTGATCTCAACCAGAACTCGCAAAGGAAATGAGAAGTCACAACAACAACCATTTAATAAACACATGAGTTATTCAGCCTAATAAAAATAGATGACAACACTTTTTTTTGGACACCTACAGGCAGCACTGGAACACTCACACTATCCGTCCTGTTCGCCAGTCCAGATGCCCATCTGGTGAACCAAAAGCAATGTATCATGTGCCTCATATTGTCATATTAAACAAGGGCCAAATAGTCATTTGAAATATGTCTAAAACAATTCATGATGGAACACTACAGTCAACCAGCCCCGCCTGTACACCCCGTCCCCTGCTCCACATCATCTCCCATTTGCCACGACGCCCAAAGGGCCACAATCCATCCAGGATTCTGTTCATATTTTAACTTTACATTTGTCTTTGCAAGTACCCTAAGAGTCTAAAGAGTCCATCCATCCATCCATTTTCGTCCGCTTATCCGGGGCCGGGTCGCGGGGGGAGCAGCCTAAGCAGGGACTCCCAGACTTCCTTCACCCCAGACACGTCCTCCAGCTCCTCCAGGGAGACCCCGAGGCGTTCCCAGGCCAGCCGAGAGACATAGTCCCTCCAGCGTGTCCTGGGTCTTCCCCGGGGCCTCCTCCCGGTGGGACATGCCCGGAACACCTCCCGAGGGAGGCGCCCAGGAGGCATCCGGAACAGATGCCCGAGCCACCTCAACTGGCTCCTCTCGACGTGGAGGAGCAGCGGCTCTACTCCGAGCTCCTCCCGTGTGACTGAGCTCCTCACCCTATCTCTAAGGGAGCACCCAGCCACCCTGCGGAGGAAACTCATTTCGAGCGCTTGTATCCGCGATCTCGTCCTTTCGGTCACTACCCAGAGCTCATGACCATAGGTGAGAGTAGGAACGAAGACTGACCGGTAAATCGAGAGCTTCGCCTTTCGACTCAGCTCCCTCTTCACCACAACGGTCCGATACAGCGACCGCATCACTGCCGAAGCTGCACCGATCCGCCTGTCAATCTCACGTTCCGTCCTTCCCTCACTCGTGAACAAGACCCCGAGATACTTGAACTCCTCCACTTGAGGCAAAGACTCCCCACCCACCCGGAGAGGGCAAGCCACCTTTTTCCGGTCGAGAACCATGGCCTCGGACTTGGAAGAGCTGATCCTCATCCCAGCCGCTTCACACTCTAGTCGAGTCTAAAGAGTGTTAATCATAAAAGTAAAAGTGAAACAAAATCAAGGTATTGATGGACTTTGTTAATGTTGACATTATTCTGTACCTGTCCCTAGATT